AATCCTTAGATTGTAGAAAAATATAAGAGGGAAGCAGGGCAGGCATCAGCAATGGTGATAGATGTCAGATGCTGATATCACCTTTTGCTGATATTTGATTAAAGTCAGAATAGAAGAGAATATATGTAGTCAGGTTTGAACTGTAGAGCAGTGCACTGGTGATAGTAACTAGTTGGGTAATGAAACACCCGGGGAAGGAAACATCTAAACTCAGAGAGCACCAAGGACTCTATAATTAAAGTTATTCTTTTATGGAATTAATATATCCTAGAATTTAGGAAACATATTGCTTAGATAATGGATCTCTATAGCAAGAGTGTCAAAGGATCTCAAATTGTTGTTAGTTGCAAAGTCACGTCTGACCCATCGCAACCCCATGGGCAACATTCCTCCAGTCCTTCCTGTCCTCTACCATCTTCTGGAGTCCATTTAAGCTCACACCGACTGCTTCAGTGACTCCATCCAGCCATCTCATTCTCTGTCATCCCATTCTTCTATTGCCCTCAATCTTTCCCAGCATTTGGCTCTTCTCCAGTGAGTCCTTCCTTCTCATTCGGTGGCCAAAGTATTTGAGTTTCAACTTCAGGATCTGGCCTTCTAAAGAGCAGACAGGGTTGATCGCCTCTAGGACTGACCAGTTTGATCATCTTGCAATTCAAGGGACTTGCAGGAGTCTTCTCCAGCACCATAGTTCAAAGGCCTCAATTCTTTGGTGCTCAGCCTTTCTTATCGTCCAACTTTCACAGCCATATATTGCAACTGGTAAAACCATAGCCTTGACTATACACACTTTTGTTGGCAGGGTGATGTCTCTGCTTTTTAATATACTGTCTAGATTTGCCATAGCTTTCCTCCCCAGGAGCAAGTGTCTTGCTTGGTTTCTTGGTTGCAGCCCCCACTAGTAGTGAACTTGAAGTCCAGGAAAATAAAATCTGTCACTACCTCAATTTCTTCCATTTCCACTTGCCAGGAATTGAGAGGGCCGGATGCCATGATTTTAGTTTTCTTAATATTGAGTTTCAAGCCAACTTTTGCACTCTCCTCCTTCACCTGCATCAAGAGGCTCTTTAGTTCCTCTTCATTTTCTCCCATTAGAGTGGTATCATCTGCATATCTTAGGTTGTTGATATTTCTCCCAGCAATCTTAATTTCTAACTTTAACAGTGTTTGCCAACTGGTGGGCCACAGCCCACTGGTGGGCCATGAGAAAATTTTGGTGGGCCACAGAGAAATCTCACCCCCAGAGCACCCCCCCCAAAACAATTAATCCAGGCTGCATATTAACATAAGGCTGCGCCGCCCACATGGCCCTCAGGAACCCTCCCCGCCCACTCACTCCTTACCCAGCAAACTTGCATGCTAAATTGCTATTTTTCCAACCATCAGCTGTTCTGCTGTGCCAGGAGATTTAGATTAGCTAGGAAGCAGGAAATGGTTGGATTTCTTGCTTTCTAGTAGTCTTTAGATCTTCAGCTCTGCTTTTAAGCACAGCCGAACCTCCCTTAGGACTGAAGGTTCTATTATTCAATGCAGACTCTCAGTAAGCAAATTTTATGTGAGAGACTGAGCTAGCCAATGACAGATAGATAGATCACTGAATGATTCTGAGAGCAACTCAATCTGCCTGCGTACCTTGCCTGATTTTGGGTAAAAATTGCTCTTTTTTATATAAAAAAATCCAATATTTATATAAATATTTATAATATTTACATACAAGCCATGCCCAGCCAGTGACATGACCACCAAACCACACCCACAAATTAGGCCATGCCCACAGAACTGGTTAGGTCCCTGGGATTTAAAATTATGAGTTTGGTGGTCCCTGAGGTCCAAAAGGTTGGCAACGCCTGCTTTATAACACTCTCTAAGTGGCTTACAGTCTCAGCATATTGCCTCCAACAATCTATGCCCTCACTTTACAACCTCAGAAGGATGGAAAGTTGAGTCAATTTTGAGCCAGTCAGGATCAAACTCCTGGCAGTGGACAGTTAGCCTGCAATATACTACTGCCCCACCACAGCTCAGTAATAGTAGTAGTAGTAGTAGTAGTATGTCAGAGTGTTTCCAGCGTGACTATTGTGAGACAATCCAGGAGCAAAAGATAGGACACAGAGGCTTTGTCTTTTAACAGTGGTTTATAGACAAGACTGCTATATCCATACATATACATGTTAGGCACATACCAGGCAAGCAAGCAATCTTCATTACTCTGCACGGAGAACTACAATGGAGATGGAACATGAGGAAAGAGAGATACACCTTCTCATAGCCTCCATTATATAGACAGCTTCTTAAAATGGCAATAAACCTCCTAACCCAACATCTGTCTTTAAATGGCAATAACCCTGCTGACTCATCGTTATTGCATCAGCATCCTCACAGCAGCTGGTCAGCTATTAAATCTCCAATACCTTAACATAGTGGTAGTAGAAGTAATAGTATTGTATTGGAAACATAAGTGTATGGCCATTTATTCAATACTCTAGATTGAAGACATTACTGCACTTGCCACTACACATACCAACTTTGATAGGTATGTATAAAGAAATATTGGACTCAATCATACAGAATACACTGGGTTTAAAAAGATGTATAAATGTATTAGAAATATATACACACCTAAATATTTGCATTACAAAAGTATACATATAAACTATTTTATGACATATATATTTTTTGTATTTCACTTTAAATTTTTATATTTCTTTTTTCCCTCTCTGACTATACACCATCATCACTACTTCTTTATGTTTTCCTTTTTTTCCCTTTTTTTGTTATTAATTAAAGTGTGTAGAAAGGTAGCACCCACCCCCTCCTAGAAGAATGAAATATCCTAGGAAATATTAAAAAGGCAAAAAGGAGAAACATGCTCTTGGAAAGCACCCCCCACCTTTGTTAATAGCCCCAGAAAGACAGCCATCCTATCTACAAGACCAAAGACGATTAGCTCCAGGGTGATAGGATTAGTCCTCACTCAGATCCAAGCCATTAAGCCATAATAGGAATTGCCCAAAGCCTCTTCATTACACCACCCAGCAAGATTCAACCAAGCCTGGGACTCAAGACAACCTACAAAGTTACTTCTTGCCATTGATACATTTCTTGCCACAGGAACAGGAAGCAAGTTCAATAGAGGAGTCTCTCTCCCTGTCTCACCCACGTGCTCAATTTTGCCCAGGACCTCAAACCATGTGTCCTGCTGTCCACCATTAAATCCTCCTTCCAGTCTTCATGTTTCCAATGTCTTTCTTCCCACTTGGAACTGAACCCAGATGGACATTTCTTCCAACATATGGAAATATTTTTTTAAAAAATTCCAGTGAATTGTGAAATTTGACAGTCAGACAGAAAAACATTCATCCCACTGTTTCTATGGATCCTTTCACATTATCATCCTTCTTTTCACAATAGGTCTATCACAATTAAAATAAGTGATATTACCTCCTAGAAGTTCTGGCTTTCATTTTATTAGTCTGTTCAATACTCACTTTGCTTTAGCACAACAGATAAAGCATTCACTTTTAAGCTCTTTTTCTGCCTCCTTAGTCAATTGTCTGAGGCTGGAATATTACAGCTTCTTTTTGTGATGTCTCTGGCTACAGGGAGCAGACAATGAAAAAGAAAAATGATACTTAATATTCTCCCAAGCACATTTATACTACAATGTCAAATGAAAGTTATCAGAATGTTCATTACTCAACTAAAAGATTGAAAGCTGAGATTTTATGAAAATGAAATATTTAAAAAAATCTGGAAGATATGAGATTGTGTACTTGTCACCAAATTTTCTCCCCAACATCTGCCTTTGGTTATAACTATCCTATGGAGTATAACAACTATCTATAACAACAATTAGTATAACAACTATGTTTGGAATAACAAAAGCTGAAGTTCTCTCAAAATTTTATCAGCAGGTTCAGAAGAAAAAAGAAAGCTGGACAGTTCCACCTCTCCTGCTGAAGGCCAGCTTCATTAGCTTGTTGTTCTGTATCCAGCTGATCTTTAGAGTAATCATTTAAAAATTATATCTCAAATTGCTTTTCCTTTTTCATACTCTTTTCTTTTTCCTTTATACTTTTTTGACAGTAAGTCAGTAGCTTTTTGTCTCCATATCTTTTTGTAGCTTTTGTCTCCATATCTTACTAAATATAATTTAGTTTGGATTTAGCATGCTGTGTGAATCTAACGATCATGTTTTTAAAAGTATCATTCATAGCTTGTGTGATACATGAAGCCAATCATCTTAAGGCTAAACAAACCAGGGGTTAGCTAAGGTATAAATCAGAAAAATACATATATGCTCAGGAATGCATAGATTTTCAATTCGTTTTTTTCTATCTATTCAGAACTCCTTGTAAGATAGGTTAGACTGAAAAAAGTGAATGGCTTTTGAACTGATCTGATTTCGTTAACGGTGCAGGACGCTGCAGCCCAGGACAAAGGAGTATTTTCAGTGCATTATTGGTATTTTAGGGTGATTCCAACTGAGCTGCAAAAAAAAACAACCCGACGAATACTATACCAAATGGAATACTGAACTAGCGACCTTATGTATGAAGAAACCACGGTCTAATGTGAACTTACCGAATCTTTATACATTGATCCTTGGCCAGAGCAAAAATGTAAAATATGTAAACGCAGAAAATCAGGTCCAGTATTTTTGGAATAATCGCTATTAGCAAACCTAAGTAGATCGATTAACAGTTGACGATGCTAGAGCGACCATATATTTAAACATCTACAGATAAAACACGATTTAGAGAAAACTGTAGCAGAGTTGGAAAGTTTCCTTTTGTGCAATTAGAAAAAGAATTCTGGGCGACTGCTCGAATTGTGTAAGAAGGAATTGCGTAACCAGAGAAAAAGAGTAGAACAAGCGTCAGCTCCACCCACAACGGACCAAAACTAACTGCCGCGTCCAATGGAGAACGCCGAAGTGACGCCACGCATTTTTCGACGTTTTCGGAGCAGAAGGCAGCCGGCCGGTCGTTCCATAGTGGGGCGGGACTGAAGAGTGACGCGACTGCCATCGGGCGGATCCCGTGATGGCTGTCAGTGGCGCTGCTGCTGCGGTTGCTCTGTCACTCGCTGCACTCCCGGCAACTGCTTCAGGAGCCTTTCTCGGTCGCCGCAACAGCGCTACCATGACCGACGACAAGTCCGCCGAGTCCGCCAACGAACAGTGAGTTAAGAAGAGTGAAGTGAGGCTCTAAGCCGGTTGGCTGGCAGTGTCACCCAGCGCGCCATTGGGAGGCCCTCCCTCGTCGGCCGCGATTGACGCGACAGTGATACCAGATGCTGGCTGCCCTGGCTTTTAGTTCTAGAAATGGAAACTTGCCTGCTTCCGTAGTCGGGACGCGTGTAGACTTCTCTAGAATGCATAATTCCTATTTTGCCCCACAGTCCCCAGGATTTTCTTGGTATAGCTCTTGACTTTATTCAACTGCTGCTTCTCCGTGTGTTATTTATTTTATTATTTATTTATTTATTTGTCAATCGCTTGCAAGATAATAGGTATAAATATAAACATGAGTATACAGGAAATACGTACGAATAAATGGGGACAAAAGGACAGGGACGGTAGGCACGATTGTGCACTTATGCAGAAATAATTTAAAAGATTACAAGATGACAAACCTAATCTGTGTGTGTGCTTCACCCTAAACTAAGGGCTGAGAACAAATTCGATTGTTTGGGTACGAATTAATAGATAGCTGTAATGGAGATGTGCAATTTAAAGCATTTTAAGAATAGGAGAATGTATTCTCACAACTTTGGATTGTTGTTGTTTTTTGCCCCGAAGCAGCAGTTCCCCAATTTGCTTTTTTTAAAAAACTTTTCAATGTTGAGCATTCACCCAGAGAATAGCTAAAGGCAGCCAATTTTACGATTTATTTTAGCAATCATTGCCTCCACTCCCTTCCCTAATATCTTTTTAAAAAAAACAATTCTCTGTATGTAACTGTATCCACAAACACAGAAATTTGACTTGTCATGCAGGTGTTTGCCATTTTATATATCTACTTGCGCTTTTTTCATCTATATATTTGCTGTTGTTTTTGTCCATTATGAAAGAAGTCTTCAGTGTTTTGGCACAGCTATTACCTAATATGGGTTGCATTATTTTTATGTGAAATAATATTTTATGGAAAATACCTGCATAGTAGGCAGATTTGTTGTCATTTTTAATGTATGTTTATGTCGGGTCTTCAAACTTGACAGCTTTAAGACTTTTGGACTTCAACTCCCAGAATTCCTCCTCCTGTCCTGTTAGCTCAGGAATTCTGGGAGTTGAAGTCCACAAGTCTTAAACTTGCCAAGTTTGAAGACTCTTGGTTTATGTCATTGTGTCGTTCAGTCATAGTCACATAATCAATTCCATTTTGGCAAAGTCATATTTTTAAAATTCTGTAGATTGGTCTTTGTATTCATGACCTGCATTAGATTTCAGTGACAAGTACAGGGTAACTGTACCTACAATAAGAATAACAATATTTCAAGATGCTTGGTAGTAATGATGAGTCACAAAGACCCACATAGCAAAGTGTAACTTTGGTTCCAAATGTGTTGGGAATGCAACTCACAAAATTCCAAACGGGAGCTAGACTTTGTGTATAGTTCACGTGGGTGGTATAGGTCAATGGCAGATGACAAGCATTATTAATAGGAGTGGGTCCTAAGTAGAAATAGGGGGGAAAGTGGCAGATATTCGTAGCAGATAGTCTTATATCTTTATAAAGAAATTCTAGATAAGGAAGGTAATTAAATAACAGCTATTCCAATCCATATGTACACCTTTTTATAATCTCAGTGAAGTTTTATTATGATCCTCTTAAATCAGTGGTTGCCAACTGGTGAGCTGTGGACCAATGATGGGTCTCAAGGAAATATTGGTGGTCTCCAGAGAAATGTCTCCCCCAAAGCATCTCCCAAAGCAATTAATCCGGGTGCGTGGGAACACAAGGCTGTGCCGCCCACATGGCCCACCCACCCACCAGCCCCCACCCTTCAGCCGAGCGCAAACCTTACCTTGAGTAGAGCCATGCAAGCTGGAACTGGGAGGTAAGACCAACAGCAGGGGATGGAAATCCACCCTGGGGTGGCTTGCTGACGTTGGTGGGAAAGTTGGTCCCATATTCCAGAGCTGCACCGGCCTATTATGGATGAGCAGCTCCAGGATGACCAAAGGGCCAGTATTGTGACTACTGCAGCTCTGGAATATGGGACGGGCCTGTGGTGGGGTTGGAAATCTCTGCTGTAGGGGGTGGCATGTGTAATGTGCAAATTTGTGGGTGGTGCAACGTGCAAAAAGTAGCACAGCCCTTGCCGGCCAGGACAAGGTAATGGTGCTGTTGCAGCAAGGGGGCATAGTTAAACCACCACATCTCTGTTCCAAGCTGAGGGTTGCAGTCAAATTCCCTGCTTCGTCGGTGTTCTGAGAAGACGTGGCTCGGGGATAAAGGGGCTTCCCTCTGCGCGAACAGGTGAGTCTGCAGGGCACTGCCCAAACTGTTGTCTGGGGCTCAAAGGCCCTCTTCCTCCAGCCTTGGGAGGGGCACCACTTCCTACCGTGCCCCCCTTCGGGTAAGCCCAGCCGGACACCACATGTTGGGTCTGGTAGCAAATGAGAAAATGCTGTGCCCTCCCTCACTTCCTGCAGGGCCTGTTGGCAAAGCATCCCTGTTGTGCATCTGCTGCTGCAGTTGGGTGCATGATGGGAACACTCTCCACGTGGGAGACATACTCCATGCCCATTGTGCTGAACCAAAGGCACTGGTGGGCAGGGGAGCAGCTGCAGCTGGCTGGCGAAGTGGTGACGTCGGTGGATGGACTGACGCATGCAGGGAGGGGAGCGTATGGGAAATGGCAGTGCCAGAACCCTCCTTGGCTCTTCCCCAGAGCACCTCGTACCAGCTGAATCCCCTTCCCCGAATGCTGCCGCCACTTCCCACTGTGCTTGGGATGCTTGCAGCATCACTTCGGACAGGATGGTGGTAGCAGTGGGGGGTGGGCTAGCGAGGTTTCCCAGAATTCTCCCTGGCTCTTCCCCGAAGTGCCTCATAACAGTTGAATCCCCTGCCCTGAATGCTGCCATCACCACTCCCCACCTTGCTTGGAACATCTCCCAGGGACAGGAGTTTGGCCAAGCTACCTGCAAAATCCTCTCTCTCTCTCTCTCTCTCTCTTTCTCTCTTCCCTCGCTCCCTCTCGGAGTGCTTGCAAAGAAAAGCAGCTGGAGTCACTCCCATCTCTCAAGAGCCTGGCTGAAGTTTCTTCTTCTGAAGCCACTCCTCGAGAGATGACTTTGCTTGGTCGAACTCCTGTCCCTGGGAATCAAAAGCGCTGAAGTGTGAGTGGTGCAGAAAACGGGCCATATCTGGCTCAGGGGGCATATGTTGACACCCCTGTCTTAGATGAATTCTCATCAGAGAAAGGAAGGACAGTAAGATTAGGGGAAGTATCTATTGTCCTACAATTGATGAAATCCCAGAGACTGCCAATTATAATGGGACAGAACTATATAGTTTTCACTATTTAGAACTTTCATCCACAGCATCTGTTCTGAAAATGCCCCATAAGTCACAGGCCATGAGTGATAGAACAGCTCCAAACCAATGCAGGAATAAAGGCTTATTCACAAATTAGGAATTTCTCCAGATTAGACCTTGCTCCCTGAGGCTTAATTTTATTATTTTATTATTGTTACATTTTATTTATTCATTATAAATTTTTTTACAAAACACCTAAATGCACTATAAAACCTCAGATGTGATTAATTAAACTATCTTTAAACTTAAAGAAAAAAATAATAGAAATGAAAAGACATAATCCTCTAAAAAAAGAAATAGAAAAAAGGTTAAAACGTGTGTGTGTATGTATCTATGCATGTGTGTGTATGTATGTAGTATACTTATCAGTAGTCATTGATTTATTAATATACTATAACTATAACCTGATTATTACAAAATATTATTACACAATATCACAAATCTCATCCATAATAGTGCATAATATATTTCTTCCTTTTTAGTAATAAATATTGCCTTTAACAATATTAAAAGCGATATTTAACATCACACATTTCTGAAAGTCTTCCTTTAACCTAATTCTTTGGTGACTCTCATGCTTCAGTATAACCATATTTTCTGATAAAAAGTCACATTTTGAAACCGGTGTATATAGTAGTTCAATATCACCTTAATATCCTTAATATTTAAAGATTTCCCCTAAATCTACTTAAATGTTAGCATGCCAAAAAAACATCAAATAATATCAGACGGGATGCTGAACCCTCAATTTTTACATCTCAAACAGAAAATCTGATCAATTTTTCTTAATCAGATATTAATGCTGTTCTTGATAGTGATCCTGCTCCTGCTATTTCCGATCCCTGGATTGGACTTTGACCATTCTTGTTACTTTTCTGATGTGTCTTTTGTGTTCTTGATCTTTGTTTAGAAGCCGTATTTCTTTCTTTTGGCTCTTTGAATAAGACATGTTTTTAATATGGTTTTCTAAGGCCTACTAGTTTCTTAAGAAAATTTCCCTCCTTTTTTATTATAAAGATTGCAATTCTCTTACAGCAGAATGGCAAGAGGATTGTTGCTGCATTTGACTGCATTTAACTGAAAAATCTACTACTACTATATGTTTAGGCTTCTTTTGGCAGAAAATAATGTATATGTTTCAAAAAATATTCTGAAGAAAAATATTAGGCTTTTATGAAAGCCTGAAAAAATGATATTAATGCTCTGATGATTTCTGAAAGAAGGATGCTTAAATGGCTTTTTAAAAAAAGAGTGACACAGAAATCAGACAAAGTTTGGGCCTTGAAAAATTAACAAATAGATGTAGCATTCTAGTGAGATCCACTTCTTTTTAATGTTGTTCATAGTACACCCAACTTTGCTATATATTGCTCTCACTCCATCAGTGAAGCAGATTAGGTAAAGATGTGATATGTGAATTACTCTTCTAGGGAATACTTTAGATCACGGGTGTCAAACTCGTGGCGTCACATTTTCATCATGTCACAACTTTTTTCACTGTACTGGGGGTGGGAGTGGCCAGCATCTGGTCTGTGATCTAGATTAATGCTAACTACAGATAGTCCTCGACTTACAACCATTTGTTTAGTGACCATTCCATGTTACAATGGCACTGAAAAAACTGAAGCATGAC